ACCTTTGCAATGATTCATGTTTGAATGTATACAAAGGTGTATGTCTTTTGAAAAGTTTTTAATGTTTTTGAAAGTGGTTTTGAAAGTGTGTTGTGATGTGTGGTTTTGAAAAATAGGCAAGTGTTTTTTTGTTTTGCAAGTTGGCAAGTAACCAAGAGCTATCTACCCTAAATTTCTCAAAGATTTTTCCTATGTTTTAACCCTTTTAACAATTTTGTTCCACCATTGTATTTGGTGGACAATCTTGTGTTAGGATGTGAACGGGACGGGCGCGGGTCATCTTTTAGACCATGATTGCAATGGTGCCAAGTGTCTTTGGGCAATTTTTCCTTTAAGGGACTTGATCATTTTTAGGCAACTTTCGAAAGCGTCATCGAGGGACTATGATCATTTGATATTGTTTTGTTTTGCCAAAGACACCTAACATGCAACATGGCCCAATATTGAAGGCAACAAGTGGAGTAACCCTAAGGGGGTGCAAGTGTGATTGGTGTTGTCCATTTTCATGCTTTGTTATCTTTGAATTAGGTCAAGCTATTTTTTGGTTGATTTTTGCATACAAACCCTAAGTCTATCATGGTATAGTTAGAAAGCTTTAAAGTGCGGAAATTAAAGGTCCTAAATTATTACAACACAAATTATGGGATGGGGGGTACAATTGTTCAAATGGGGATATTTAGCAAGAAATTAAAATTTAAACTATTACATCCAAATTGAATATACAAGTTAATTTAAATGTACAATAATTGAATAAAAATACAATAAATATGCAAGATGCAAAAAATGATTTTTATACGTATGTAAAAGTATTTTTTATGTGATAAATAAACAAAAATAAAAGGATTAATTTTGGATATTTTTATGGTTTTAGGGCAAAACCCTAATTTTCTAAGTAAGAAGTATTTATTATTTATTATATGCAATATTTATTAATTATGTACAAAAAATAAATAAAAAGGAAGTATATTGTAAAAAAGTGATTTTTTGAAGTTAAATATTAATAAAAGAAAAAATGTATTATTTTGTATTTTATCCTAAATATTCTAATAAATATATAAGTATTTATATTATTTACTAAATATATTAAATATGTACAAAAATAAAATATTTATTATTTACAAGAAAAGTATATTTTTTTATAAAATGTTTTCAAAAGATAACATAAAATAAAATCAGAAAATAAAAATGTATTTGTATTATTTTTGTATTTTAAATAAAAGTAGATATATATTTGTTTACATATAGAACTAAATGAAACAAAATAAATATCAAATAAAATGCAAAAAATGTGAGAAAAATATTTTTAATGTTTTTTCATGTTTGGATAAAAATATAAAATCAAAATCAAAAGGAAAAAATCAAAAATGACAAATATATCATGCAATGGGCCAAGGGGGTGTATGTGTGAAATGAAGGTGCAAACAGAAAAAAGGTCAGGCCCAGCCCAGAAGAACTTTGTCTTCAACCTCTGGACATTCAAACAGAACAAAACGCGCGTTTTGCCTTGTCCCTGCTATCTCTTGATCCTTTGACTTTTAGCACAAACTTATAACATAAAAAATGTCAAGCATTAAATCACGAATCCATACATACCAAGAACTTGATCTAACTCTCAGAAATGAGAGAGAATTTCTTCTCCCCCAATTTCTGACCTAGGTTTTTTCCAATGTTCAGGTTCAAAATACTCTTAGCACACCCAATATAAATGAAAAGTAACTATATGGATGGCTTCAGGGCTATGATTAGAACATGCTTTCTTCACAAACTTAAGTCTAACTATGCCTGGATAGAGAGATAGAAGTTCAAAAACTTACCTGTTCAGCTTGATTCGTGTATGACAATGGAGGTACTTTCAATGTAATGTGAGGACTTGTATAGCTTGCTTGAGGTCCAGGGATGCTTCTCCAACCTCTAGCTTGCTTTGAAACTAGCTGAATCGAGCTATGGAAGTTCACCTGCAAAGTTAAAAACTGAAAATGGCAAATGATGTTAGGGATGTTACAGTTCGTGTCCAATGCTTGGGATAGCTTCAGTGGGTGATAGGGAATGTGTTTGCAAAGGTTTCAGCCAAAACGCACGAGTGGAAGTGTTTGTGGAAGTCAAGTTGCAGAAGGGACTCTGTTTTTGCAGCAAGGAGGTGTTTCTGTGAATGAGGAGGTATTGAAGGTGGTTGGCTCGTGTTTCAGGTCAGGCTTGATGTTTTGAATGTGTTCAATAAGTTTTTTTAGGCTTGTGTTGACAGGAATGTGAGATGTTGTTGTGTTTGCAAAGTTGCTTCTATCTTAAGTCAAAAATGCCAAGTTGGTTTACAAGCTTATGCAGGCCCCCTAAACATGCTGCAAAGTTAGTCTTGATCAGTGGGATTAGTTCAATAAATTGTGCCTCAGAGATTTTGCATTGTACTTCTTGGATTTGTGTTTGACATAAAGTCATGCTTTACAAGAATGGATAACTTGCTTTTTCTATTTATGGCTTAGTTCTTCATGTAATGACCAAATGCACAAAATAATGCTAGAACACAATGGATTGGCATTTAATTATTGAGTGTAAATGAGATTAGAGGCCTGTAACTAGCTTGAACCATGCTGATTTCAAAAATGCAAAGTTATGAACATGTATTTGGCCATGAATCAAAGTGACTTTTGCCCATATTGCCAAATTCGATTCTCCCTAACCACAAGGGTGTTTGAGAAGTTCTTGGACAATTTGGAAAGATTGGAATGTATACTACAATCCATATTTGTAATGCAAATTGAAATTCCAAGTGGAAGCATGTGAAAAGTGGCCATGAAGTTGGGCAAAAATCCTGCCTAGAATAGGTCAAAAAATTTCTAAGTTAAGAATGTTTTGCACCCTTGTTCCAAAAATCATAACTTGAGCTACAAGCTTCTTTTGAGGAAACTTTGTCAATCAAAGTTGTAGATTTTGCAATGGACTACAACTTTCATGTTTTGAGTTTTGTTTGAATCCAAATGTATCTTGATGAAAAGATGGGACAAAGTTAAGAAAAAATTAGGAATTTTCATAACTTAGAAAATTTCTAAGTTATGAAAATTCTTCATTTTAAACCCTAATTTGTAATTTTTGATTTCTTGATAAACAAGTTTCATAATTTGACATGTCTTGATGAAAAATGAATCTTGGCATTTGATTTTGACCAAAAAAGTCAAAGTTTGACTTTTCAGTATACAGTCAAATTTTGCCCAGTTGATTGGAAAATTCATCTGTCAATCTTGTGTACTTTGGATCTTTTGAACTTGTTGAATGTGTCAAGACCATGTCATTGAGTCCTTGAGTCCATATGTGAGCTTGGTTTGCCATTGGTTAGGTCAAACAGTCAAAAATTGCCTTTGTGCAGTCAAAACCCTAAAAATGACCATTTTGCGCTTTTGGTGATTTGATCAAATTTCTTGTGGAATTGTGATCCAAATTTGACCAAATGGTTCATATGAGTTCATAATGTTGATGTGGGTTAAAAATCATGAGGTTTGACTGTCAATTGACCACAGTTGACTTTTTCCCCAATACAGCTGATTTCTAGGTCAACTGTCCAATTGACTGGGCAAAGATTGGAATCAAGGCTTGAAACTTGGTATGGATAAACTTGTGAATCCAACATGAAGCATGAAAGTCATCTTGGGCATTTTAGGTCAAAACATCTTTGTGCAAACTCAAACCCTAATTTGGATCAACAGTGCAAGGAAAAGTCTTGAGCAGGGCAAACCCTAGCTTGATCTTGAACTCCAAGGGTCTTGTGGTGAGAAAATATTGATGAAATGGGAGGGCAAATTTTGGGGTAAAACAGAGTGGATGTGCCAAAATTTCATTTGCATCAGAGGTTTGGTGGCCGAGAAGATCATGTAACCGTCTCTAGTAAAAATCATGGGAGATGTCATTACGCAAATAACAGAGAAAAAAATAAGAAAACAGTGCGAGAAAGTGTGAAGAATGACAGGCAAACGAAGGACTTATTTATAAAAAAATCATTTTGCCCTAGGAGTCAAGTGAGATGGCGCCTCCTCCAACTGAATTAATTTCTCTTTTATGAGATTTTTTGAAATATGATTATTTGCGTAATTTTCTCTAAAACATGGTTATTTACAGAAAAAAATTCAAAAATTAATTATTACAAAAAAAAAATCGTGAACTGTTCCAAAAGTGTTGCAAAGTAATTAATTTCCTAAATTATGGAAGCTTGTATTTTTTAATCATTATTAAAATTATGCTTCTGACCTGGATAATGTATTTTAATTGTTTTCTTATATTTATTTTATGAGTTATGTTAATTTGTGTTATTTGGACACATGTTAAGAAATCATAAACGACAAGTTTGTGATAAAAAAAATATTAATTATAAAATTTTAGTTCAAATCAATACATAATTTTTAAAATAAAGTTTCTACTTTCAACACAAATTTTCTATTTAAAGATTTCTATACATAAATTTTGTATTTATAGATTTCTTAACAAAACTCATTAGAGCACAAGTTAACATTATATTTTTTATATATTGAAAAGTATGAACCATAATTCAATACAACTCAATTTATAGTATTTAAAAAAATCGTTTATCTAATTGTTTGAAATTACCTTTTTCTTTATAAAGAAAACAACGACATTCTCAGAAGAAAAAGTGAGTTACAAACTAAAAAAAATCATTTATGATTTAATCTAAATTTTTTTACACAAGAGAGCCAAAGGCAAAACAAAAAAATTACACACTAATCCCAACAAGATCTTCTAAAAGTATAGATCTCACTTCTAGAAGGCAATCTTCGTAAAATTGAATTCCTTGAACAAGTCTCAAAGGTAAAAGAAGGATTGATGAACATTAATGGTGCATAAATTGAGCTACAATAACATGCGCTACTATTAAATAACCATAACACAGATTCATTCATTCATTCATACACAAGGATTCTTTGGATAGAAATGAAAATTAAACAATAATTGAGATCCTAGAATAACCATTAACAAGTACACAGCGGATTATACAAAAATCAAGCACTCGTAAACTTAGTCACAGCTTTGGTTCCCTCAGAAACAGCATGCTTAGCCAATTCCCCAGGCAGAACAAGCCTGACTGCAGTCTGAATTTCCCTGGATGTGATGGTTGGCTTCTTGTTGTACCTTGCAAGTCTGGAAGACTCAGCAGCAAGCTTCTCGAAGATATCATTGATGAAGCTGTTCATGATTCCCATGGCCTTGCTTGAGATACCAATGTCAGGGTGAACCTGCTTCAGAACTTTGAAGATGTATATCTTGTATGTTTCAACACTCTTCTTGCTTCTCTTCTTCTTCTTGTCTCCGGCACCGCCATCCTTGGGTAGCTTCTTCCCGGCCTTGGGTTTCTTCTCGACCGGAGCCTTCTCCGCCACCGTAGACTTCTTCTCTTCCACGGGTTTCTTCTCAGCGGGCTTCTTCTCTCCCTTTGGCGCCATTTGAGAATTCAGAATTTGAAACTTTGAAAGAAATTTAGGGTTTCGAATGTGATGAAGGATGAAAACGCTGCGGTGGTTTATATATAAGAAGATTCTCGCATTTCTATTGGCTAATGTGCTTATTCGCGGATCGTTGACGTGGAACTCTTTTATACTGATGAGGGATATGACAATCGACGGTCACAATCTTGCTTTAAGGCTGCTGTGGGTGACTGGAATGACGGTCACAATCTTGTTTAGCTTCTATTAAACATGTTTTATAAAATATTATAAAAAAATTCATCCACACAAATTAATAAATTTTTAATAAAACATAAATTAAATTTTTGTTTTTATTTTTAAACTCTTTTAAAAAAAACATAGATCTAAACACACTTAAAAACATTTTTTCTTTTGCATGTTGGAAAATTAATCTTCGCGATTTGAATAACTTTGACGAAAAATGTGCTAGAGACAATTCGGATATCCTATGATAACAAACATTCTTTCTAGAACTTGCATTGAAAATGTTCATAGATTACATAGGAGTTTTATTTGAGGGGACACACTGATGAGAAGAGAATATATTATGCGGTTAAGTGGGATACGGTAAAGAAACACAAAAAGAAAGGTGTTAAACCCACGAAACATAGAGAATATGAAACAAGGGTGTCGCACCAACACATACTCAATCTTAATTTTTAAATATAATTTAATTTAAAACATAGCAACAAGGGACAATTATTCAGTTTGAGACAAAGTAGAGAACTTAGTAACAATCTCAACCCTGATGTTACAATATCAAAGATATTCATTTTAAAATGAATTAATAATCAACTTAAGGTCCGACAAAACATGTAAGCATACAATGGAAGTGATCGTCTACAACATCTTCTATAAGCAACCAGCATCAGTCACTACTTTGTATTGATCTCTGAACCATCTATACAAAGATACATATACAAGAACAAGAAAAGAGGAATGGGTTGTAAGTATTGAGTGCGTTTGAGAGGGAGGTGAATTAGGAACTTTAAAATTTTACCGGTTTTAGACTCAAGTTATACTTATTTTTCTGGTTTTTTGTTAAGTGTTTGAAAGCAATAAAGTGCAAACATAGAGAATATGAAACAAGGGTGTCGCACCAACAAATACTCAATCTTAATTTTTAAATTTAATTTAATTTAAGACATAGCAACAAGGGACAATTATTCAGTTTGAGACAAAGTAGAGAACTTAGTAACAATCTCAACCCTGATGTTACAATATCAAAGATATTCATTCTAAAATGAATTAATAATCAACTTAAGGTCCGACAAAACATGTAAGCAAACAATGGAAGTGATCGTCTACAACATCTTCTATAAGAAACCAGCATCAGTCACTACTTTGTATTGATCTCTGAACCATCTATACAAAGATACATATACAAGAACATGAAAAGAGGAATGGGTTGTAAGTATTGAGTGCGTTTGAGAGGGGGGTGAATTAGGAACTTTAAAATTTTACCGGTTTTAGACTCAAGTTATACTTATTTTTCTGGTTTTTTGTTAAGTGTTTGAAAGCAATAAAGTGCATAAAAATAAAGAACACGGGGATGTATCATAGTTTCCTTCACAATCTGAAAGTATGTTTAGTCCTCTTTCAACACGAAAGAGATTTCATTATTATTATATCTCTAGACAAGACACACCTAGTCTTTCTACACAAGACTCTAACCAATAATCAAGGCAACAATACCTTAACCAACCAAGTTGAAATGAGAACAATCTTCTCAAACTCAACTCTCTTGCATCCAACAATTCTGGACACCAAGGTAAATAAATCAACCAAATAGAAAAAAACAATCCTTTCTTTTATATTCTCTTATTTCCAACAATCCTGGACAACAAGGAATTACAAACCAAATCTGGAAAATATTTGAGTAAATAAAATTGATGAATATATATATCAATTACTAAGATTGATCTTCTCTTCCAAACAAGCAATTTATAAATATATATTAGTGCTAAAGTGTTTATGAATGAGGGAGAAAATTTTCTGAAATAATATTTAAACAAATGTAAAAAAATCTCAATAAAAATTCAAGTATCAAAACACTTATTTGAAAATGATTGAATAAATTATTTCAAATTGTTAAGGAAGAGGTGATATTTGAAATATTAAAATGAGAGTATTTATAACACCTCGGCACACCCTTTTGAAAGTGTATGAATAATTCAAAAGATGTCATGATTGATGGATGCAAAAATAAATTTGTTTGGATCAAATTTGAAAAAACAAAATGCTATTATTTTTTAGGTAACGGGTTACCTCAAGGATGTAACTGATTACCTCACTGTAACGTTAAAATTTTCAAATTTTTCCCATGTAACTAGTTACCTCAGGAATGTAACTGGTTACATCACTAAAAGTTTTCCTAAAAACTTGAAAATAGGGGTTCTGCCAAAATTCATGTGACTGGTTACCTCATGGATGTAACTGGTTTACCTTGAAGCAATGGAAAAAGGATTAAATGATGGTTATGCATATGTATGAAAATATCAGTAATTCCTTAGCACTAAAAATATATCAAGGCTTGAATTGAAACTTGTACTAATTTGAAGATCAATCAACCAAAGCTAATCTTCAAATATAATGAGCATGACTTGAACACTTGATGACATAGCTTTAACTTGAGGCTTTTTCCATTCTTTTGCTATAAACACTTGATTGTTAATTTTTATTCATCAAAACTAAGAGTTGGAGAGGATTGACTTCACATTCTCCCTCTTTTTGATGATGACAACCCATTGAAAGTTTGATAGCATTTGCTTCCCCTAACAATGATAACTCCCACTTGATCCATGATTGAGTTAGGGAAATACAAAAAATACATACCATATTCTTTGTAACACCCCATTTTCCCCAAAAGAATGATTATAATAACATATAAGAAACATATCAGAGTGTACAAGTAGGATGTCACATATTTCAAAAACTCATAAAGTTTCAAGTCACTTTATTACTTCATTTCATATAAAAATCAATTCAACAGCGGAATAATTAAATTGATTCACTTCCATGGCATTAAAGCTTCAACAACAATAAAAACTCCACAAAATTTTATGGTCCAACATATATAAAGGTAAGATATGTAACGAATAACACAATGAAAAAACATAGCAAGTTCTCAAATCTCGTGTTACATATCATAGCGACTCCTAAGACTCGATTAGCTAACGCTCACTTCAAACACTACTCGGATACCTGATTATTTGTACTCCCCGAAGAGCACAAACACAACAACAGAAAAGGGGTGAGAATTATACTCAATAAATATACGGTGAATATCACATTCTAAGGGGTGGTAATACACACAATTCACATGATTCACAAAATTCACATTTCACGCAATACTTCGTAACACATTCGCCATTCATATAACACAACATCGACTCAACATTAATGCAATGCAATGAGATCTACATCAACTCAATGTATGTGATACCAACAAGGCATAAGCCCGTATCATGATTCCGAATAGGGCAGAAACAGGGTATAAGCCCTCAACATAACATCATTATAGACCAACAACAGAGCATAAGCTCTCACCAATGCTTTCATGCAACACCAACATACACAACATAATCATGCAACCACAGAGCATAAGTCCACCACATTCGCCAATAAGGCCACCAACATTATTATCATCATGCGATATAATTAATAAATTCACACAAAAATCCATGGTTTAACCCAATTCCCTTTATTAATATCCTTCCTATATTTGCCCAAGTCATACTAGTCATTACGGACCAAAAGAAACTACACCACACGCAAAAATGGGAAAGAAATCACGAAAATATAAAATTTTCCACACAGGCCTGCCCTTACGCGTAATGCCCTACTCCATACGCATATTTCCATGTTGTCCTGCCCCAATCCATAATCCACGTTGGGTACCATACATGTAACGTTGTTTGCCTTACGTGTAATGCTTTCTGCCTTACGTGTAATGCTCCATGCCTTACGTGTAACGCCCCCTGCCTTACGCGTATTGCCAGAGGGGGATTTCCCTCAAAATTCTTCCCAGAATGCCATACACGTATTGCCCCCTGCCTTAAGTGTAACACCCTCTGTCTTACGCGTGACGCTCCCTGCCTTACGCATATTGGCAGTATGTGACAACAAAAAATCTTGTTCTCGCATCAGTTCGATTTTCACTCGTTTTGAGCATTCCCCCTCTAAATTTAAGCCCAAAATAGTGTTTTTACACATAATAACCTATAGGCTTCATCTACTTTCATTAAACACTTATTCTATAACAATTTCCTACATTAAAACACCATTTTTCATCATCTCTATAAACCCATATTTTCATATTTGGGATTTTATGGAAGAACCCACAACAACAACATCAATCTTTATCAAAATTCACAGTAATAACATCACATCATTCACAATTCCATGATAATCATATAGACATAACAATAATCAAACAATGGAAATGATACACATCAATTACACACAAATTCTAAAGAGGGAAAGGAACCCTCACTACCCTCTCATGTTATAATCACCATTTAGAGAACATATTACCCCCTTTACCTTAGTTTGGAGCTTTTATTCCTCTAACAATGGTGAAATTCTCTTGCCCTAGATTTTTCCCTCCTCTTCTTTGTTTCTATGACACAACATTTTTTCCCAGTTGTCTCTACCGCTCTTCCAATATAATGTTTTATTCTTAGTAACAATAATAATAATAATAGTAATAATAATAATAATAATGGAATAATTACAATAATAATAAATGTAATATTAATAATAATAATAATAATAATAATAATAATAGTGGTAAATTTACCATATATCTAATAATAATATTTTTATTAATAATAATAGTATATTCCATCCTTCATCAATATTATTATTATAACATAGACTAAGTTTAATTCTAATTATTTAATTAGAACTAAGTTCTCACATACCCTTAGTCATGCCTACATACTCTTAGTTATGCCAAAATAATTCAAAGTCAACAA